ATTCACCTTTCCCAATGTACTTGGCATTATAAGTAGTCTAGAGAAGATTCAAAGTCTCTAAGAAGATATGCATTAGTCGTACAAAAATACTATGCTATTTTATATAAGGGCCTTGAGCACCCGTGGATTTTGGATTCACGGGGGGTCCTGGAACCAGTTTTCCAAGGATCCAAGGAAGGGCTGTCTTCTCACAGGAGATGCTACTATTTCTATCTTGTCTTGATCATTTTTAGATTTCCACTAAGAATTTTACTCTTCACTTTCAGATCCCCTGAAATTAGAAAAGTAAGAAATACTACAATTTCCCAGTGGTAATAATTAGCAGAATATCTTAATAGAGAAAAGAAAAGCATAAATAGGACGTATAATCCCAATCTAAAGCAAGCCTTGTTAATACATGAATTCACAGATCTAAATGAAATGCAGTATTTTAGTCTTATAGTTAGCTACATTTTAAAGAAATATGAAAAGTTCACCAAATCATAAATTTCATAAAACCTAGGCTTTGACTCACTCAGCTAGATACATAATGCCAAAAAAAATTATGTAATTCTGTGACTAACCATAATTACCAAGAAAGTCCATTCTCTGCTCTCTGCACACTCATGCTCATAGCAAGGAAAACAAAAATTAAAATTTCTACACAACAACATTGTAGGTGTTTCCCAGGCTTTGTAATCATCGTAGAGATTATGAAAATGCTTCAAAGTTCTACATATTTAGTAAATTCGAATAGTTTATTTACTTTGTTGGCCACTGGATATATTTAGAAAAAAGTTTCAGCAAAGTTTTAGGAACAGTTAAAGAATTTTAAGTCCTCAAAAATGTCTCAACAAAAATGTTCACGGAATGAACATTCTGCAGTCAATGCTCATATGAAATTGAAACACTCTTCACACTAATGCAGCCTAGGTTACATCTCAATAGAGAAAAAAAGGAGAGAGGGAAGAGGGTTTGCAACACGACAACTACACAATAATAGTTAATACACACCATATAAAACTGCAGACGGTAATGTTTCTTCACCAAGCTCAGTACAAACATGCAGAAACCTGTTCAAGAACAAAAAACATGTGCTTGTTGTGCAATTTGGTACAAAGTGTAAGACAACCTGAGTGCAAATAAACCGATTCCTACATCCCATCTAGGCCACAGTAGCCATTACCTAGATGATGTCTCTCTCACTTCCTCAATTTAAGCACGGCAAGGAAGCTACCTGAGGGACACAACCTCATAATCAGCAAAGTGCCTAACATACTCCATGGTACACATCCGGTGAGCATCTCTTGTGTTCACCACAAGAATCAGTCCCTTGCTATCAGGTGGACATGGAAAACAGGCCTCTAATCTCAGTTGAATAAAAGTTGTTTGCGCCATCAATTCCTTAAGAGTGGCCTTGGGGTGGAGCTCAGTGGACCATGCCTGCCTCACCTGTACAAGGTCCTGGGTTCCATCCCCAGCTCAGAAAAACACACATACACACACATAAGGTATGTGGAGAGTCCCACCCACAGCGTGCACAGAAGGTTTCCAATCTATATGATACACATTTTTTTCTTTTTTGGTACCGGGATCAAACTCGGGACCTTGTGCTTGCAAGGCAGGCGGCCAGCATGCACAGAAGTTTTCCAATCTATATGATACACATTTTTTCTTTTTTGGTACCGGGATCAAACTCGGGACCTTGTGGTTGCAAGGTAGGTAGTGGCACCACTGAGCTAAATCCCCAGCCCTGCAATATGGAATTAGTAATCACTACTACAGCAGCTAATGTCTACTGAACACATTAAGCTCCAGGCTCTTATCTAAGCATTTTTATACATATCAATTCATTTAATCCTTCTGTGATCTAGCTATCTACTATCACTCCATTTTACAGATGAAGAAAAATGCACCAAGGGTTTTGTTAGCTTTCTGACGCTCAGGGGGCTGGCTCCTCCTGACCCTCCAGAGCTGTGTAGTTCCTGACAAACTCAGGCTAGCAGGACTCAGGTGAGGAGCAACTGAACTTTCTCAGAATTGTATTATCATAATTAGAGTAGAATATAATACTTCTAATAATTTCAAGATTTACCACCAGTATTTGAGTTTTTTTGTATCCAGTAAATTTTATCAGAATGAAGATTTATTGAAACAAAAATTCTTGCCAACTGAAAGAATATACAATTAAAGTCATATACTAAAATAATGAGAGGCAGTAGGAAGCACTCCTTGTCCAACACACCAGTACACTACTAAAGATAAGCTTTTTTTTTTTTAAGAGTTGGATACCGAAAATGCATAAACCAGGTCTCATTTTAGATAAACGGCCACGTATTCTACAACACCTTTGGATGGTTTCCCTGAAGCAGCATCTGAATTGTCAAATGAGCTAGTCCACGTAGGATAAATGTTAGCCTTGGCTTACCAGCATTCTATTTTCAAGGCAATTCTACCCACCAGAGTGAGCAAAGCCTCTCCTAGAGCAAAGAACCAAGCCACAGATGGCATGGGCTGGGCTCTGATGACTGATTTTATAGGTGCCAAAGTAAAATGGGAGACAAAGGAAGAGAAGACCTTCTGAAATCAGTCCCTACCTCCTCTCTGTCCTCTAGACTAGTCTGCAGAAGCAACTCAGAAACATTTTATGAGAACAGACATAACTGAATGCTTTTACAGAGACGAGACAGAGACAGAGGATGAATGGGAGAGAGGAGGCATTAAACATGGAACTCATGGCAGTGCAGTTACCCACTGGATAAAACACACCTTTAAAATTATTGCTTTTGGGCCAGGGATTTAGCTCAGTGGTTCTGCCGCTGCCTCACTAGCGCAAGGTCCGGAGTTTGATCCCAGGTACCAAATAAATAAATAAATGAAAATAAAATTATTGCTTTTAAGTTTTTCTTCTACAGTAAGCAGATTCACAGCTCACGTAATGTAATTTATGCCACTGGTCCATGGCTGAAGATGAATGTAGACTGGATTTAGTTCAAAGGCTAATGGGGAAAGGGTAAAACAGACACCAGACAGATGACATTGGAACATCCTGTCCTGTCCAAAAGACCACTGGGTCCCCAGCACCACTCTGGGAACTTATTAATAACACTGAATTCCCTCCTAACAAATGCTACTCTAAAATACGTGGCTTTCTTTTTTTTAAATTAAATAATAGCATCTACTCTTATGCACCTCTTTAAACAAGATTACCAGCATGTTATCCAATATTTACCTAATGGATATTCTACCCACAATGGTCGTGGCAACTCGCTTCGACTTGATCCAGTTTTACCTAGAGGATATAATTATCTGACCCCTAAACAAATTAGGACAATGCACTTCTCTTTTCTTTAAGAGAGGAGGGTATAAGTATTTTCTTAGCATATCTAAAGCTAAATATTATTTTTAAAGAAAAAAACTCTAGAAAAGAAACATATGAACTTAATCATTTTCATTCACAGTCATGGGAGCATTTTACATTTAAATACGTAAAAACGCCTATTTACCATATTTTAATATATCTATGGAAAGGATACTTTATACTTTTGGATCCGCATCATCTTACTCAATCCCTACCTAGGAAAGAACATTTGCAAAGTTACGTTTCCAGTTTAAAAAATCACAGGCTTGGGCTGGGGATTTAGCTCAGTGGTTCCGGCGCCTACCTTGCAAGTGCAAGGGCCCGAGTTTGATCCCCAGTACCAATCAATCAATCAATCAATAAAATAAATAAAATCACAGGCTTCACCACAGCATTATAAATCACAGTGCTCAATGAAAAGGATTCCTAAAGTACAGCTCTTAGTATATAATTATGTTTAGTGAAACTATTGACCATCACTCAGAGCGCTATGCCTAGTGTTGCCGAAACTAAGATTCGTACGTCCTGAAGCCCAGTGTACAAGGGTCCCCACAGGTCATCCGGAAGAACCAGTTATCCAAGAGCCTGAAGAAAAGTGTATTCAAAAAGAAAAAAACAAAGTATGAGGTTGTTAAGAAAATCATGAGAAGTACAGAAAACAAAAAACAAAAAGCAAAAAAAATCAAGGTTTTGTAAAGTCCAAAAGATAGCTTTACAGATTATATCTAGGTGTCCCGCTCAACCCTCATGTGCTCCTAAGGGGAACTTTGGGGAAGTGGCCAGATCATAGGTGTGTGAGACTGGATTAGTCCATTCATTGGCTGAGCATAGAACTGAGTATGGATGATGGATTTCCTGGAGAGAGAAGGCCTGGCCTGGGCATGGGTGGTACCAACCAATAGAATTGTAGCCTAGGTAGAACAAAAACAGATGTCTCTCTCATCCTGCCTGCCATGCCACAGATGGCTTCTCCTCTGACAAGGCCCTCTGCCTTAGAGCCAGCCAGCTACAGACTGAAACCTTCATACAACTGGGAGCTAAAATGATCCTTTCCCCCTCTAACTTGTGGGTGTCAGGTGTTTTGTCCCAGCAACAAGAAAGAAACTAAGCCAGATGGAATACAGAGAACTCCCAAAAGGGGGCAAACAATAAAAAAAATTTATTGAACATTTATAATGTGCTGGACACAAGACACAAAAATGAGTAAGATAGGCGCCGGCATTCAAGAACTCACAGTCTGGTTAGAAACAATAAAGTTGATTTAACATTTTATTATTAGTGATTAACCAACTCAGTAAACACATTAGTCCTCTGTTCCAAAACTAGGTTGAAACAGGAAATCTTACCAACTCACTCACTCTCTCTCTCTTACACACACACACACACACACACTTTTTTTTTTTTTTGAGATAGGGTCTCACTATATAGTCCAGGCTAGCCTTGAACTGGCTAGATGGCCCCCAGCAGGTCTTAATCTTGTGAACCTTCTGCCTCAGCCTTCCAGAGTGCTAGAATTAAAAGTATGTGCTTCCACACCCAGCCTCATTCATTCTTTACTTGTTATATTTTTCATTAGACTTTCCTACACCATCAAAACTCTAAAATATTCTAACAGCATGTTAAATAAATTCAGAATCATACTACATTAATTGGTATAGTTTAATACTAGATCATAACTGAGCTGCCTACAAAAAGTTTTAAGTGAATACATATTGTATAAATTGTCATATAAACCAAGCATTACATTAGCTGCTTTCTCTTTTATTTTGTGGTGCTGGGGACTGAACCCAGGGCCAGTGCTCTACCACTGAGCTACAGCCCAGCCCCCCACAAAAACAGTGCTCTGGTAATCTGACTGGTGAATGTACGGAGTAGACCAGTAGCACGTGTACAGATTTTGCAGATTTTTATATCCTCCAATATAAAAGATACCCAAAATGTCTGGGGGAAATCTGAATTACACATCAATTTTAGCTATGACTTAATTTTGTATGTCCATCAATCTTCTCAAACTCAAAGCATTATATTCAAGTCATGCCACCTCCATAAAGGATGCAAGCAAGAACTCTTTACTAAGCATAACCCGCATATCACATGAGGTGGCCAAGAGATGAATTTAACAGCGAAACACCTGAAGTTCAGTTCATTGATCCATCACTGCTGAACGCATGTTCAAATGGCTGCTCCAGTTTCTAGAGAACCAAATCCACATCACCAAACTGATGCAGATACATATTTGGAGTGCACGTATACTGCTATCTACCGGGCACAGTCATAGACGTTTATGTACATGTGTACATATGTATGTATACACACACACACACACCGATGCACACACGTACACACATACAAATGAAGAAAGAGACAGAAGGGGAGGAGAGAGGAGAAAAAGAGGGAGGGAGCGGGAAGAGGGAGAGAGGGAGAGAAAAGAAGGGGGAGAAAAGGAAGAGAGGAGAAGGGAGACAGAGGGAGAGAGGGATGGGGGGAGATGGGGAGAGACAAAGGGGACAGGAACGGAAGAGAGACAGGGAGAGGGAGGGAAGGAGAGAGGGTGGGAAAACGAGAGCCAGGGTCTAGAGAAAAACCTTTGTCTGGTGATCTTCAGTCTCACTGATGTTTTCTCTGCTTTCAATCAAATTCACTCTCCTAAATTTACCTAAATGTAGAATGCCTTCCATGTCCCAGTCAGGGAGGCACCTCCCCTGACAGGAA